TTGTGGGCGGGCTCCTGCTGCGGCAGGCCCTGGGAGGGGGGGCCAGCCCCGTCCGTGACACGGCCCCGCAGCCTCGCGCCGAGGCCGCTGCGGCCCGAGGAGGGCCCCTCGAGGGCGGGGGGCTCGCGCGCAGGCAGGGGGTCGGCAGGTCGGGGCCGAGGAGGCCGCGGGCCCAGCACCTTCTGGCTTCGGGGCCCCCTTCTCGAAAAAAAACGGCATAAGCATACACTTGTGGCGCTCCGCGCGGAGTTCTTGGGTCCGCGCTGGGGCCCCCCGGGCGGCGCCTCTGGCGCCGCCCCTGGCGCGCAGAGCGCGCCAGTGAAGGGGGTCCGGCGCGGATCCAAGAAATCCGCGCGGAGCGCCACCAAAAGTTCTGTTGATGGCGCTTCTCATTATTAGTACGATTGCTAATAATAGTATCGCTTATGTTCATTATCATTCGTATTATTTTTCGTTATGAATATTATCATTGTTATGATTATTAGTGTTGTTATTATTGCTGTTATTATTGTTCTTAGCATTCTTATTATTATTATTATTATTATTATTATTATTATTATTATTATTATTATTATTATTAGTGTTGTGTTTCTTCTTGCTATGCTTGTTATCCCTGTTGTTCTTTCTCTTGGTATTCTTATTATTATTATTCATAGTATTGTTTTCTTCTTCTCCTTCTTCTAAAGAGGGCCCCCTCAGACAGGGCCTTCGAGAACGCCCCTGCGAGCGCGCCCTGGAGGGGCCGCCGGCGGCGTGCGGGAGGGGGTTGGGGCGAGGAGGGCGGCTGGCTTCGTAGGGGCACCCCCGCCTTCGAAGTGGCACGATTCGAAGCCCCCGAGCCCTTAGAAGAGGCCCCCGGCCTTCTCAGAACTCGAAGATCAAAAAAAGGCACACAAGCATAAACTGTTGGAACTCCGCGCGGATTTCCTGGATCGGCGCTGAGCCCCCCTCCTTGGCGCGCTCCGTGCACCAGGGGCGGCTCCGGAGGCGCCGCCAGGGGGTGGCCCAGCGCAGATCCAAGTAATCCGCGCGGAGCTCCAAAAGTTTACAGTCGGGGCCCTGAAGAAGGAACCCTTTTCGTTGGGGAGGGGCTCCGTGTTACTCAAGTCTTTCGCAGCTTGCCTTAGATGTTCCTTAGGTTTTCGATGCGAAATCGAAGTTTAACCTATGGAGAATAGGGGCCTCGTTCCTTATTTAGGGTTCCTTAGGTCAACGCCTCGACTGTACATGTATGCAGTTTTTGTCGCCCGTCCTCCAGAAAACCCCCTCGCCCCCCCCCACCGCCCCCTCCTGCGCGACGCCAGGGCAGGGCCACGGGAGGCACGCCGACCTCCCCCAGGCTCGGGGCTGTGAGGAAGGCCACCGGCTCACGGCCAGGCGTCGCGTCTCGCCCCTCCCTCGCCCCGTGGACGCCACGCTCCTGGAGTGGTGCCCACCTGGGCCAGGCACTCCTCCTCCTCCTCCACTCGCCTCCTCCTCCTCCTCCACCGCCTCCGCCTCCTCCTCTCCTCCTCCACCGCCTCCTCCTCCTCCTCCCCTCCTCCTCCCTCCTCCTCCGCCCTCCTTCCTCCTCCTCCTCCTCCTCCTCCTCCACCCCCCTCCTCCTCGCTCCTCCTCCTCCACCTCCACCGCCTCCTCCTCCTCCTCCTCCTCCTCCGCCTCCTCCTCCTCCGCCTCCTCCTCCTCCGCCTCTCCATGGCATCCGTGAGATCACCCTCCCACCGAAGCATCATGGCACAGCAGGTCCCCATTAAGTATGGCTCAGGAGCAGCGCGGCTGCGGCCGAGAGATGGCGGGTGCGCTTCGCACGGACTCGGACGCGCGAGCACGATCGAACGTGACAGGAAGGCAGGATGCCGCAGAATTGTTTCGGTCGTGGCTGGGGAGTTGCACTGAGTCGGGCGTGTCCCTCTACAGAAGGAATATTCAAAAATAGTCAAAAAATCGTCAGGAGACGATGTTTCGACTATGTTTGACTAGGTTTGGGCATGCTTTGAGTATTTTTAACTGTTCGTCCAAAGTCCGCCTGTAGGGGGACATGCCCGACCTGAGAGTTGCAAGAAGTGCGGGACAACCGCAGCACGAGGCCTCCAAGGACGAGCAGGAGAGGGGGAAGGCCCGAGGCAAGGAGGAGAGGGGCGGGGGGTACTGACCGGAGGAGTTGCAAGCACGTGGTTTGCAGCGGAGTCTTGACAGATGTGCTGCATCCCGCTGCACTGCTGCACTGCACATGCGCTGCCAGTTCTGACGGCATCGCACTATCTCCTCCCCGCCCAGGTGCAGCAGCCATTCGCACAAACTGGAGGCGCTTTGGCAGTTCAGGGAACATCATTCTCGCGCAGCACCCCGCCCAGTGCCAAGACTCAGAGCGAGGCTCTCCCCGAGCTTTGCACATCCTTATGTATCTCTTCCTTCTGCTGCCAGTTCGTAGACAGAGTGATTTCGTCACGCTTGCGAAATTGCGGCGCTGAGTTTGTGAGACTTGTTTCGAATTCCCCAA